TTGGCATAGCGAATGCAGTTCGATAGTTATCAAAGAAATGTTAAAGGGATATAATGGTTTTTGATGTGATAAGTTGAATTGCATGTCAACGAGTTGATTGAATTTCATCTTATAGGACACTGAACTGAACTAAAATGGAATGAGTGATTAAAACGAATGCAAAGCTAATTCAAAGCGACGAAAGAATGAACAAATAATTCCTCACAAATGCCATCGATCAACCAGACTTTTAAGTCAGTCGTTATCTTATTCGTTATCTTATCTTGTTTATCCTTTCGTGTATTTGTTATAGCGATAAATGGGATTGCTCATATTTTTATGCTCACTCTAATGGCTACTAGTGCAATGGGAAATTTCTGTCCGAACATGGCTTTATATACAACTGGGATTTTTCATAACGGGTTTATTGCTCTCGGAGGCAGGGCCCGAACCTTGACACCCGAGATAGTAATTTCAGCAATAATTGGTCGGCCATTCTTCCGGTGGGATTATTAGAAAAGAAGATCTTCACGAATTGTTAACGTCGAATTGTTTGTAAAGGTTCATGAAATTTTCAACTGGGGCTGTAAAGAGTAGATTTTGAATAAAGATTTACAATCAGTGAGTAAATGTGAAAAAGTGGATAAATTTAATATTTAATGGAAAATTAATTATTCATAAATATCCCAGAAGGCTTCTTCGTTATCTACAAAAAGGCTAATCAAGAAAATTAGATCAATAGATTTATGTAAAATGTGAATTGTCAAGAGAGCTGAAAAAAAATATTACTTTTATCGAATATTTCATTTTCTTTATAATAGAACTGCAATTGCAACTATATAGTGCGACAGAATGCGTGGTATTTTGCTTTAAATAAGTTAAAATAATCATAGATTTGATTTGGGATGGAGATAAACCTCTCACTAAATCCATATGGCGCTAAGGACCAATCTGCATTTTCCCAGTTGTCTCTCTTGCGATTGGATCTCATTCCATTGGCTTCTTGGAGCCCTGAATCAGGTGAATGCTATTGGAATAAGAACTATAACAATATTTGGTTATCTTCTAAACCGAAATGTACTGCATTTTTATTTTCTTAGATTTTCATTTCATACGCCTCTTTTCCGTATTGCAAATTTAATTCATTTTCCGCTTTAACAACCATCTTAAATTGGCTTTCATCTTTTGAACTTATTTCAGTTAATTTCTTATAATTGCTATTATTCAATTCAATTCGATTTTATCTAGAAGTATGTTATTACGATCAGTTCAATATTGAATAAATCCAATAGATTATATTAACTTCATTGAAAATTTAAGTATGAGAAAAGCATTTAAAAGAATTTAAAAAATTTATTTCAATCAATAAGTAATGGGATTATTGAAACGACCAAACAGAGTTTGAAGCGGATATTATGACAAATAAATAAATCCACGTTATTGACGATATAAAAAATTTTATGTCTGCGATAGGAAAGTTCCAAAAGCTTGGCGAGATAGTTGGGCAAGGGGATAATGAAGGCAAAATCCCTGGTATCAGTCAAGAACTTTCACTAATTATTATAATTATTCTTTTGGTAAAAATTTCTTAATAAAAAAATTTCCTAATATTTCTTAAAATTTTTTAGTTCTATATCGCGAATATCGTATTTTTTTGTTTCTATAAACCGTTTGAAGCATCAGTATTCGTTCAATCCATATTTATCATTCTTTTGCAATCATTCTACACTAAATATTTTTTTCTATTTCATTTTTATTTAAATCGTGATTCTGCGTGATTTATGAAAGGTAAAAGTTTTTAATTTGTTTTAAATTGCATATAATCTAAATTACTACTTTGATATATTTCATTACTGAAAGAATAAGTGGTTGTTTAATCAGAATATCGGTATCGATTGCAGAAGTTCCGACTTTTGCCTCCGATAAGAGAAAGCATTGAAAATTCTGGATAATACTATTGGTCCCCTTGTGCTATTGGTATTGGTATAATACTATTGGTCCCCTCGTCCATTGTCTCTTTTACCGAAATTCCTTATCATATTAGTAGCTTTATATCGCTTAAAGTTTCATAAATTTCATAAAATAGCTGTAAATTTAGCATTTTTTCTGTATTTTTTTGTGTTCTATACAATTTTTAAAAAAAAAATATTTATTCATTTTAGTGTTTCACCTATGCCATGAAAAAATCAGCAGAGGCAAACTCGAGTGACAAATTGGCTTCAGCCGAAAGCAAACGTTACAGTTTCGATTTCTATCCATTGACAGAAAGAATAGTAAGGAGGAGTAAGCTTGTCATTAAAGTGAAACCCTGCTTGAAGTCCACTTCTGTCCGAAATGATGCTTTGGCTAAATATTGGCATAGGCGAACATTTTGCGAAATTTGCGTTAATCGCAGGCGATTCGCCGACCAAAAAAATGCTTAAATAATTCAGAATATTATTCACAATACGTAAAATCGTATTCATATTATTCAGCAACAAATTAGTATCTGTTAATAATCCGTTAATAAATCTTCAATTATCATTATTTTTGAAGTTTTTTTTTTTAAGTTACACGCTTTTACATCGCTTCGCGCAATCCGTGCAGCCGTGTAGCCTCACAGTCTGTTTTCAGTTCTTTAATTTTCTTTGATCTCATCAGGATCTTGATTATTCTTAATTATGGACCCAGATTATGCCTAATTTATACTTCTAGTGCCTTTAAAAGTGCGTCAAAGACGCATCAAAAGAACTGAACTGAAGTGACCAAGAAAATCGAATTATTAAAAAAAATTCATAGTGTGATCTTATGGAATTCGGCTAAAATACACCAAGAAAAAAGAGAAAAATCGCGAAGCTGCTGATGCTGCTGCTCTCGGTGCTAATACCTTATATCAATTAAGACCAACATAAATGGAAAAAAACCTTTTGTATGTGTGCAATGTTGCCACAAGAGAGGAATTCTAATGAATCAAGTATGAACAAGGCAAACTGTATTATTTTTAAAAGCCCTTACCATTACTGGTTAGACTCGCACTAGACAAATATGCCAGGATCTCTGAAATAGAAATATAGATGAGTCGCCAGCATTGACCGGATTTACTCCTGCAGGGAGTAGAATCTCAGCGCTCATCATCGTCGCTCCAAAATGAGCAATTCGTGACAGCCCACTAAGCCATTCTGCTCCCTAAACTGTATATGATTTTTGAAAGGGGGAGAAATAATGCTGATAAAAATGTAGCGAGGGAATTTCGTATGAAAAGATGACCCTAGAATATGAGAAAATGGAGTAAAGTAATGAAAAATTGACCTAACGAAGCAATGGAAACTGACCCTAGGAAGCGATAAAAACTTTATAATTTTTAATTTTATGATACAATTATTTTTGAATAATTTTATAATATAATCATTTCGGAATTTCCGACAAGGAGGGCTATCTTTTGCTTTCGCGATTTTTTGCATTTCATGCGGGGGTATCGCCCTTAATCCCTGCGAACTCGAGGCTGAATTACACTCTGGTCTCTTGTCTGATCGGCTAAGAAGAGATTTATTCTTGAATTATTTTTCACAATTCAATTCAATCTTATTCCTATCATCAAAGAAAATTAAAAGAAGTCAAAATAGCCAATTTCTTATAAATTTATTACTGTATTTAATTAAACTATGTTTCTCTTTCTGCTCCCTTGATTCCACACCGTAGCTTAGGCAAAAATTCCGTATAATTTTTACATAAAGGCAAAAATCTAACAGAAAATCTAAGAATTGATTGAAAAGTTGGAAAATGAACGCATAACACTGTACTTAATGTTTGGGAGAAATGAACTAACAAAATGCACCATTTCTGGTTTGGGCTAGTTTCATCGACTTTTTGTGAGGGCCATTAAGACAGGAGGACAGAATGAGTAGCGCCTAACTTCACCTTTAATGACATATATACCGTCAATGGATAGGCTTAAATGGAACCAGTTATATTTGTCTCCGTCAAAATAACGCCATTTAATCAATCAGCATGACCTATTACCTCAGCCATTTGGTACTATTTCGTGCAACAAAATGAATAAAATTCATATTTTAATTTTAATTTTGTATTATCGCATTTTCCAAAAAAATTGTGAAGTTTAAAATTATATTGTCGAGAATAAAAAAGATCAAATTATTAATATATTTTTTGAAGCGTGAGATAATTTTTCAGATAGACCGAATAAATTAACTAAAATTGATGCAATTTTCAAGGAAAATCGAAAATTTTACAGCAGATTATAAATGATTCAATTCATATAGCTTCAGTCCCCATAATTATTTGTAGCCTATTAGTTGATTTGTGGGCTTAATTTGTGACTCAAAGCATTAGCGTCGGCTATTCTAATCCCTTAGTAATTCGAACTATCATAAAGTTTTCGACCCAGATTGATTATGCAATTGATATTCCTATTCATATTTTACTTAAGTCAAGCACAAGATAAAGTGAGCCAACTTTCCTTATTTTCTACTTTTTCGTTCATTAGTTTCGCATTCTCAACAACACACTTGTGGCTAAAATTTTAATTTTTCACAAGTGTTTGTTGATCGCATTTTCATTTTCATTTTCGCATGAAACATTAATAAAAATAGATATGATGCATGGCTGAATTTCTCTCTTTTATTGATATTTAATACGATTTAAGGCTTAATAAAATAATTTTAAAAGAATTATAAAGCAAACGAGCAACCCTATAAAATTTGAAGAATCAGTGGCTCATTAGTTTTTAGGTGATTTCTATTGTTATGGGATAATATATCCATTCTTATCCTTGCTTTAGCAGTATTCACCATTTCTGATTTGGCTGGCTTCGCAGCTATCAAAGTGAATCTCCTTCACCGGAAAGGCAAATATATATAGAAAGCAAGCGTTATGAGAGCACATACATAACCTTCAACCAGACTAAACTAAATAATGATCATACTACTTGCTCTTTTCACGCATCATTTGGCTTTTACTTTCATTTTGTCGTTTTTCAAAGTTATAAAGTCCTTGTGTCTTAAATGTTTTTGATTTTATTTCAGATGCTACAATTATATACAGTGTTGATATTGTTACAAACTGTATTATCTAGAACAATTTCACCAATCATAATTACTCGACCACTGAGCCGAGTGGAATTCTCAGATCTCCTCTCTGAATATAATCAAAATTATGCCGATGATTCCAATGAATCAGTTGAGGTTAGTTCGATGGTAGATCAATTTTCATGCAAAATAGTATAAATTTTTTCAAATTTCAATTTTCAAAATGTTTCCACAGATTTCTGGTACTAATCATCTTTAGCTAAAGATTATTATGATATAATATAATGCCACTTTTATGTATCTATGAATTCTTAAGTCTTTTAAATGAATAAACAAAAAATAAAAGAGGTCTAGTCTGCAAGACTGATCAATGCACGATGTCGAAGTGTACTTCCATCTTCACAGAGTATAACTATATAATAACGTTATCTTGAAATGTTTTTATTACAATTTGAAACAGAAATATTTGGAGAGCGTATGGAAAATAATTCCCTTAGGACTTCATCATTTACTTCGTTTCCTTCCTGATTTATCGCTTTTGCTTACTGGTTAAGCATTATTTGATAAACAAATTCTTAAATCCTATTTATTGAATAATAAATTTTTAGCAATGCCAGGTTTCCCAATTTTCTCTTTCCCAATTACCCAATAAAATATAAGACCATTGAATAAGAAGTGCATTATTTGTATACTCATTCCTCATTTATTTATTCGAACATAATTTATAATACATCATGCATCCTATGCCAAAAAAAAAGATTAGAGATTAGACAAAATCTTGATTAATTTTTAGGGAAAAACAGCCTTAAAAAATTTTCCCATATTTCCGACATTTCCATTAATAGATTTTTCCATATTTTCGCAATTTTTTTAAAAATCTAATTAAAACACATGTTTTTCGACGTTTTTAAACCATTTCAACCAGCTAAATTAAAAATAAAATTTGAGTATGATAAATTCATGTAATAGCTTAGTCCTCCGTTTCTTACGTCATCCGCCATAGAAGTTGGCACATTTTTCGTTATCTGTTAAACCCAGTGATGGAGTTAAAAGTTAGGAGGGCCAGACAAGATTTGGAATGACATAATCAGAAAAACATGGAATAGTGATATATGAATTTAGACGATACAAAAAAAAGTGGCTTCTATTAGTTCCAGCGATGGTATCGGACCGAATAACTTGAAAATGTCATACCATTGTAGCCAGTGGAGCCAGCCTAACCAGTAATGATGTAATACCTCAATCAGTCTAGAGTTTAAAGTTTCTAAACAACAACTATTCAATGCCGATATATAATGAGAATCATCGACTTCATTTAGACAATAAATTATGCAAAAGAGCTCGAGTATCATTGATTTATGAAAGACAAAGAAGCAAGATAACCTAGTGCAGTAAATTGAGAACCGTGTCTATAATATTTATAATATTCTGAAATGTTCAGCTTCGATAATAAAACGAAAATATTACATTAGCCAAAAATAGGTTCAGAACGGTGGCAATGAGAAATGGCTTCTGATTTAGGTGATTTTAAGGACAACTCTTCTATGATCACTGGAGGAATAAAACGAGAGATGAGTCTCCACAGCTTCCTCCATTTCAATTTCGACAGATGCACCTCATCAAGTACTTTTACTAATTAGTTGAAGCAGAATGCTATTCAACCATATCGTTCGCAAAAAGAATAAGGATTACAAATATTTCAATAAAAAAATTTTTTTTGGAGATTTAATTAACCATAAATCAAGAAATGTGCCAGTGATATCGATAAAGCATTACAGCGTGAAAGACCAAAAAAGAAAATATTGCTATTTATTACTTTACTTATTGCTATTGAATAGTTTAATTCACATTACCCATTTTTTAAACTTGTAGAATCATTGATATCTTTAGATAGATGTATTCTTGGATATTATTCACGCTGAATGGATATATAATAAATTGTACATGGTACTAGAGATTATACAGTCATGGAAAGATAATCGCCTAAAATTTTCTGGCGATTCAACAGTTACAGTAAGATTCATTTTATTTCTTGGGGAAGTGGTGAATAAAATCACTGGAAATGTAACAGGCTTGCATGTCCAAAAAACATGGATGTAAATTGTAAATCAGACTTTGAAATCTATTTCAGGTCCCTCGAGGTACTGAACTTTGGATGCCAGATACATACTTTGTAGATTCAGTAAAAACATCGTGGCAACAAGAATCATCCATACGGCTGCGATATGATGGAATGCTTTTTAAGAAACAACGAGCAAGTATATATGTTGCATGCAATGAAACAAACTTGAATTCTAATCAAGTATCTTCTAAACTTTTTGATTCATAATTTAAACATATTAAAAATTTTTCTTCTAACAAATGAATTTTAGTTAATTTACGCCAAAACAAAACATTTATGTTTATATATATCTTTTTGTCCTAAAAGCATTCTTTATTTCTGGATTGGCCGGCTCTGATGGCTATTAGGATGAGACCTTTTTGAGATTAACTCTAAACTAGAGATGCATTTTTATTAGCATTAGCTTTCACTTTAAATGACAGTTTTACTCCAGTCAAAGGAATCAAATCCATCATGCTTGGCCAGTAGTCAAAGCAACACAAATTCACTACTATAAGATATCTAAAATCTAAACCACTAATAACTTAAATACACAAGTAATGCCCTAATCGCTAAAAAAAATCCCTTCCTTATTTCCTGTGAGTGGTCAGGATCATCCTCAACCACGGGTGCTCTGCCAGAGGCCTCAAAAATTGAGACCCCTGCGCAGTGTCTATTCCTAGCAATGTATCTTATGCTGTTCCTGGAATCTGCCGAAACCACTTTTCTAGTTTAGGAGTCACAGTTTCAAGTGCTCCAATTATTGCTGGTATTATTTCATTCATTCCATTTCATCCTCTAACAACTCTCACCGTTGCTGGTTAAACTGGTTCCGCTGATTGCAATAGCAAAACACCTCCAAGCCATTCGATCCGATGCCATTGTCGACAGTAATAAAAGCCATTCCCTTTTCCATCATTCAAGTCCATATATCGCTAATCTACCTATAATTTCAAAATTTTTCCCGACTATATTAGTCTAGGTGTTGTATGGCTTCCTCGCCATCTATCATAGGGTTTAGCAATGATTCAAGTAATGATATATGTGCCAACTCCTATGGAAAGCGAGGAAGAAAATATTCCAACCAGGGATGGCGACGCTCTGTGATGGTATTATTAATGCAAATAGTATTTGAACGAAGGTTTAATCATATGTGAGATTTTATCGACTCAGCAGACTCATAATTGGCTCGATAGCTGAACAAATATTCCATTTAGTGCAATGATTGTCGATGGCGGTAGATGTGAATAGCCAGTGTCACTCGAATTTTTTAATAAGTTTATCCCAACGAAGAATGGAACCTGCACCTTAAACATGAGTGGTGAAAAACAGATAGGTTTCTTAATATCCTCCACTCTCATCGGCCATGTCTCACAACTATATAGCAAGATGGAGCGAATGCTCCATAAAGGTTTCGTCAACCGAAAGAAGCCGTTCCTAACCAGCATTATTCAGGTTGTAATTCCCTCTTTCAGTTGACCGTTTAAGATTATAGTGGACCCAAGATATTTAAAGTCTTGCATTTCCTCGATTGGCAATGAATTTATAATAATAGGTATTATATAAGATGAAAAGATTTTAGTTTTACTTACATTGGCCCTGAGTCCGATCCTCATTGCAACTGTTGACAATTGGGAGCAGAATTGCTTTGCTCCAGTCATCTGGTAGCGTTCCTTTCTTCCATACAATACATTTGTTGAAGATGTATTATGAAGGACGTTGTTTAATATTATTTGCATTTCGTCATAACTGTCAACAAAAGGACTACATCATGCTCTGAACTGATTTGTACACCACCACCTCTTGAGTGCTGAAAAGCAGTCAGTTCCCCATATACACAGGCCTAGGCCGACGGCAACGTACGCTGATGAAATGCCTTTACAAATCAAATGATCTCTGTAACAAAGTTCTCCAAAGTGCCGTTCTTTCAATTGAATCGAAGGCAGCTGCAAAGTCGAGAAATACGTAACGGTGGGTTGCAGATATTTAAAGCGATGTTCCAACACTCTTCTTAACGTGAATATCTGGTCAACACAACTGCGTCCAGGCCTAACTTAGTTAGAACGCATCCCGTTGTCGCGCATTACCATAAGTCTATTGAGTAGAAGGAAAGCAAAAATTTTCGCTGAGGCGTCAGATGTAGATTGATTCCTCAATAAGTGTGTGTCATAGTATGTCCTGGATAACATTTTTTGAGAGAATACAATTGTTGAAGATGAATTATGAATGATGATGGAAAATATTTGAAGATTTCAACTCCTGGAGACCATTCTCCAGGGGTTTTATTAGCGTTAGGCTTAAGGATAACGAAAATTATTTCCTCTTCTATTGGCGGTTTGCAGTTGCAAAAGTATGGTTCGACGAACAATATCCGGAATAACGATGGCGTATCGTGGTTGACCTCAGTGAATTCATTCCATCTTATGAGGAGATCCTTAATGCTCTTAAAATTGCTCACTGAATATTGCTCACCTTATGAGGCACACCATTGCTATCCCTTAGCATTTTATCGAGTTACAGTTGCTTTATGAAGAAGGAAAAATAGTTTTTACGAAATAGTTCCCTATTGTCGCCCAATTGAGCCACGTCTCCATTCTCAAGACCATCTTGCTCCAATAGCGATTTCTGTCTATGCTACTATTGTTGCAATTCTTCAAGGTATCCAGTAGTCAGGATCTCCTGACATTCGTGCTTTAACAACGTTTTTAGATAGTTGGACACTTCCGATACCCAATTAGCGCACTTCCCACTAGTATGCCTTAACATGGAAGTGACTGGTTTTCGGAGCCTCAAGTTGGGACCAGTATTCATCTATCCTTCCAGAAAAGTCATTGGAATTTATACCACTGAAGTGCTTCAATAATTCTGCCTGACATGTACTCACGAACTCTTTTAGTATACTTGAAAGATCTTGGGAGAGGCTGTTTCTTGCCAGTTGTTAGTTTTATGCGAATCTTGGTTCGAACCATAATATTATCTGATCTATGAAGGTTACTAGTTTCAGCACTCCGATAGGAACGACTGCCTAATACGGAACTCTTCCAACGGCGTCTGACCTAACATATAATTAATCTGATCGGAGTATTGGAGTGGAGTGGCAGGAAGTTCTACGTTACTAGATTTCTTCTACGATATCAGAAGCATGTATTAATACTATATTTCACTTTCTAAATTTCTAATTCCTCCTTCATGCCCTGGTGTTCCTTAATTTCTAATATCCCTTCTTGACATCTTTATCACTTGGTATGTCTATCACCAGTGCTGATTTCTGGCTGTTTTGTACTACCATGATATCTGGTTGGTTGGTCAGTGTTTGTTCGTCCATCTAGATGTACATAACCTTGGCCTTATTATTCTCCACGATCCTCTGAGGAATCTTCCATCCAGTCTTGGCTAGGCCATATGCCGAGATATTCTTGTAGATGATGCCAGCTACTTGGTTATGCCTTTCAGTACATTGTTCCTATTTGCATTTTATATCCTGCTACATTATGTGTTGGACCGTTTCTGAGGCGTTTTTGCACAATCTAGAATCCTGTCTGGCATTGTAGATCTTTGTTTCGGTAGATTTTTGTTTCGATGGATCTGGTGCTTAGTGCTTGATCCCGTGCTTCTATGATCAATGCCTTAGTGTTGGCTTTTGGTGCAGCTTTTTCCAACCACTGGTAGAATGTCAGCTGCCTCAACTATCTGTCGGTAGTATAACCCATGAAAGATCTTAAGCTTAGCCATGGTATTTCCTTTGCTTTTCCACTGTTTATAACTAATTTCAGACATTATATTAACAGCTTATCCTTTGGTGCCATCTCACTAATAAATTATTTGATGTATTAGCTGGTGTACTGAATGCTTCGGATTTCATTCAGGGTAGTGATAGTGACTTTCACACTCACTAAGCTCCACTCGCCCTCTTTCTGGCTAATCTTAGAGTATTAGACTTGAGGTGGAAATTTCCGTGCACTGAAAAGAATTAGTATGTCTTCATATCGGCAACTTTCATGCTCCTTTGTCCATCTTACTGCCAACCGTCTACTTAATGACATATTTATGGCATGGGTTTTGTTCTTCTCAGATTAGCTTAAATTGGCACTTCAGGGTTTGTCTTATACTTTAGTGATAGTCTCTCTTGCCTCCTCATCGTGGTTGCACCTTACTGTTGGATAACAAATACTTATAGCTAATCTGATTGCCCTAGTGGCAGGTCCACTCGATCAGTCATTATCACTTTTCCTCTCTTTATACATGTTGCTCCGACCATGTAATACATGATGGACATATTAACCTATGTTAACTTCTTTAACATCAAAAAAACTTGTCATTATATATACTAAAAGTGAAAATTCGGTTGAGAACTCACCTATAATAAATTTATATCAGTTTAGCTTTAGCTTTATGAACTGAAAATTTTAGAACGTGACAAACTGTACGCTAACAATGGGCAGCTTTGACAATGAAGGAGCATCTATGATAACTTATAATCTTATCAACATAACATTACCCATCGAAAAGAATTTAACAATACGCATAATCGATTATAGCACATCGATATATAACATTTCGTCCTATAGCAATCAAAGATTCAATCGATCTTCCATAACTTTTACTGTTCTTTTTGACTCATTAAATGATTTTCTTCACAAAAAATGGGATTTATAGCACATAAGAAAAATTTGAGCTAAAGCTTTTCAATTTTCCTATTCCCTTTAGAACTTTTTAGAAATTTTCTAGTAATTCCGAGTAATTGTTGATCTGAAATATTGTTTGAAATAAAATTGTTTGAAATATTATTGCAATGTCTATTTTATTTTTATTGTTGTTTTATAACATACTGCAAGGAAATCAGGCGGTTAATCGATGACATCGTTCATATTGCTGAGGTTAAGTGATGCAATACTTATATCGAGTAAAGGCCAACAGAGTTCAAAGCTCCTCTTCGGTGAAGCCCTTGCCATTAACCTATGCATAGGTGCGAATACATGGCTGAAATGTTCAGCGAAGATTTCCCGAAGGTACATCGACTGCCACAGCCGCCCACACTCAAATTTGGCCAATACAGATTTGTGATTCTGATTTCTGAATGCACGGTGTTGTAATAAATTCTAATCGGATAAAGCTGATAACTGAGTATGTGCCACTGAGTAATGAAAAGCAATTCTTACTGGACTATCGAAATATAACGGAAATTAAAACCCAAACTAAAAGTACCCATAATCCTATTCGTTACGAAAGTTCGCCTCACTTCATTCTCAGTTCGCATAAAAACCTGCTCGCCTCTCATCTAAATAATCAACTTACTTAAGCACCAACTGAGGCCCTGAACTCCGTAAGAAAACAAATCAGCTTCGCTTTTCAATTTTCCAACTAATCATTATTGAACCCAAATTTAAAATAATTTTCGTTTTAAGACCATTTTGATATATTGCAGCGCGATGGATTGAATATTCCACGTAGTTCTGAAAATGGCAAATTTTGTTAGTTTCTTCATTTTTTTTATTTATGAAAAGTTTTATTTTTAGGCTGAAGCGAAAAGAATAAAATCGGTTTTATAAGGTCTCTTATATTATATTGCTATGAAATTTAAAGTAATTTCGATAATTTTATTAGAAATTATTTGCTTGGAAAATTTGGTCTATTCAGTGGATCGTAATAATTTTAAAACCTGTGAGCATTCATCGTTTTGCAAGTATGTTATTTCTTTATCTTTATCACCTTTGGCGCCTTATGTCACTATCACTTCACTAAGTAAGGTTGTTTATCGAAGCCATTAGGTTGCACCAATATTGGGTACAGCCTCTATAATATCGTTGTGTTTGTGTGATCAAATGTTATATGAGGAAACGACGAACGACGTGAAATGGACCGATTTAGGCCTTGGCCTTGGCTTTATGTAGGATTCTGCTAGCAAGGGTAAGACACAAATAAGGGCAAATTAAGAATTTTTAAGAATTAAGAATGAGAAGAAAAATAAGAATTAAGAAATAAGAATTAAGAATTAACTGAATTTTTAGGTTAAAATATATCTGATAACTCTCAGACCTACCTGTTTTCCTGGCGGAAGGGTTTCTCCTTAACTAGGATAGCCAAGCAAGGAAGGTGGAATATTTTAGATAAGGAGGGAAGAAATATTTCTTATAAATTCATTGGTAATTTGTCGAAAAGAATTTGAAAAATTATTGCAGGCGACATAGACAAATTGCTAATAAGCCCGAATATGAAATTATTCAATCAACTATTGCATTAAATGACTCAGTTATAACTGCAGAACTTCAAAATGTGATTAATAGGCTCCGGTTAATAGTTGTGGCATTAGATGATTCGAAATTGAGGCTTATCATCGACGAAACTGATGGGATAAGAGCGAGATTTCAACCACTTGATGCACTCAAAGATGCGACGAATCTTAAAACTTCCAAGTTTGTTGCTATAATTATAACCATTTTTTAATGCTCGGACAGTACTTGAGAGGAGTATTTATAAGCGCATCTATCTTTGTTTCTGTTTCTTCTATCAAAAATTTTTCATGTTCGGAAGACATATTACCATTTTTATAAATGGCTAAAGGATTCGAAAAATTATCAAAAAATATTCTTTTTCTCGAAAACAGTAGAAAATGATGAAATGAATTAGGTTGATTATGAATTGAATCAAAAGGTAGGTATCTCTCAAAAAATCTCGTAAAAAATCGGGTTAAGGTCAATGTAATAATATATAGGTAGATTCAGAAAACGGAACCAAGGCCTTTCGCCAGGTTAAGTGGGAGAGGTTATTTTCATTTAAAATGAAAATGATGGTGGCCCACTTTTGGTGAATTTTGAAAAGGATGAGAAGTTGCAATAAAAATAAAAAATATGTTGTAATTTATTTAAGTGTCAAGGTTACTACGAAGGTCAAAGTAAGTATGATCGATTAAATAAGATTTTAAGGATTGCTTTGTTAAGGGTGTTGTTAAGGGTTATTGCTTTGTTAAGGGTATGATCGATTAAATAAGATTTTAAGGATTGTTAAGGATGCAAGGATATTCAACCTTTTTCTTGCATCGTTCCCATGTAAAAGAAATGTTTTTTCCTATCGATCCTATTATATTTTATTCCCGAAAGTTTTTCATATTTCTTTTTGTGGATTGTTTCAGAGAAATAAAGTTTTTAAGACATTAACTAAATACATTTTTTCGAAATATTAAAAATTTAAGGAACGTTCAAGAAAAATATTATATATGGGAAAGGGGAATTTTTTGGTGCTCCTGTTGTTAAATGTTTTAGTTTATATCCTGTTCGGAATCCCTGTTAGGAATTTGAATGGAAAATGGATACTTATTAACTTTACGAATCATCAGTAAACGCTACATTTGATGTGCAAGCCATAATTTTTAAAAATCTACCGTCAGATTTCATCGCTGAAGAAATAATTTACTTTAATCCACCTCATTTGTCAAGTGCCCATATATCATTTTCTTTTTATATCCCTTAGTACTCTTATTTCGCTGTCACGAATCGAAGCATGTTATGGCATATTATAATAATATTTTTCATAACAATATAACAATAACAACAATAATAATAATATAATATTATAACAATAGTATTATTTCAGAATATTTGCAAAATGTGAAAAATTTAAGGTTCCTTAAAGTTGAAATTCAAGAAAAGCTAACATTAATTGTCCTGGAAAATACAGCAAAGCTTTTATTAAATCATAAACCGTTTCGAATGGATTTCTCAATGTACGATGAAATCGTTCTTAGCGTAAATTCGGCCAATCTTCTTAAATTCGAGCATTATAGATTAAAAGTAATTTTTGAAAGTTTTTATGAAAATTTTCGAGTATGGGTATGGAAGGAATGAAAGGTAGAATTATTTTTTAGAACTGAATTTTAAGACTTATGCTTTTTTAACGTCCGAAACCTTGAGATTTACTGAAGCATTTATCTCCGAGATTAACACTGGAATTTTTATTTCCTTTTTTTTCGGCTTCAGTTCTTTCCTAGAATGTTTTGTACCAAAAAAAGTCCATATACAACCCATATGTTAAGTGCTTTTCTCTAAAAGTGATAGAAATATAAATTCATACGTTATATTGTAGCTTATTATTGCTTTTTTCGCTGTTTCGTTATAGAATAGGAAAAAAATCTTTTTCAGAATGAAAGCAGTGAAATGAACGATGGTGAAGGGTTTTGGGAGGAAACATTCAAAGCATACAAAGATACTAAACCTTTCGGTAGAATTTTCATTTGTTATTTTAAGTCATTTATATTTATTTACACTTTAATTCATTCTGGAAATTTTCGGAATTTCATTTTAGGCTCTTCTTCTGTTGGTTTGGATTTTTCATTTATTGGATATAAATACGTTTACGGGCTTCCAGAGCATGCAGATTCTTTTGTACTAAAATCGACGAAGTTGAGCCCTTCTAATTTTTAAAATTTTCCTAAAGTTTTAAGGTTTTGTTCGTAATGGTTGCAACAAATTATTTTCCATTTTCAGAGGAATAGATCCATATAGACTTTATAATTTGGATGTTTTTGAATTTGAAGTTAACAATCAAATGTCGCTATATGGATCAGTGCCTTTTTTGATGGCGCACAACAAAGAACTCACATTAGCTATTCTTTGGTTAAACGCTGCGGAAACTTGGGTTGATATCAGTTCGTCTACAGCTGATAAAGTATTTTCACTGATTTCTTTGACCACATTTTCTTTTGATAATCCAACACATTAAATAATATAAACAACACTTGGGATTTGTATCCTAAAATTTTCAGGGAATGTTGCGAGCTTTGGTAGACAAGTTCAAAACATCTTCTGAAGTTCCACAGGTAGATGCACATTTCATTTCTGAATCAGGGCTCATTGATGTGTTTTTCATGCTTGGCCCAAAGCCTTCAGACATATTTAGACAGAATTCAGCCCTTACGGGTGTTTTTCCCTTACCGCCGGTAAACTTTTTTTTATTCATATTTAACATATTAAATCTGAAATTTTGTTAAATTAAAAGATTTCTTAAATTTTCAACATTAAAGCAGTTCAACGCTAATATGAAAACGCTGAGCACATATATTTTTTTTCATTCTGTTTCTTTTTTTTCCCATTTGCCATGTTGTGGTTAATGGGAAACGAAATTAAGGGAATTACTGTTTTGGAAATAAATTACATCATAAAATTGTGTGGAAAAAGACCAAAAAGAACTAATTGCGGATTCCTGCTTCTTCTTCTTTTTCTAACAGCTCTCACCATTACTGGTTAGGCTGGCTCCAACGGCTACAAGGGTAAGACGCTTCCAGACGGCGCGATCTGATGCCATCGTCGACAGTAATGGAAGCCATTCCTTTTTCCATCCTCTAAGTCCATGTATTGCTGGTCCACCTATACGTTCAAAATCTTTTTTGACTATATCAGTCCAGGTCTTGATTGGCCCACTTCGCTTTTGACGCCAACTGTCACACGGTTTAGCAAATAACGAAATATGCGTCAACTCCTGTGGTGGACGATGAAGAATGTGCCCTAACCACCGAAGGCGGCGCTCTGTGATAACATTATTTATGCAAGTGGTATTTGAACGAAGATGGATGCGATCATGTGATATTTTATCCGCTCGACGGAGCCGAAAATTATATCTTAGAGTGGTCAAAGATTCTTAATATCCTCAACTCTCATTGGCCATGGCTTAGAACCATATAGCAAGATCGAACGAATCACGGCAATATAGATGCGAACTTTCGTTTTTATGGTGATTTCACGACGATTCCATAAAGGTTTCGTCAACCGGAAAACGCATTTCTAGCTGCCGTGATCCGAGTTATAATATCATCTTTTGCCTGTCCATTTGGTATTAGAGTGGACCCAAGGTATTTGAAATCAGGCACTTCCTCAACCGGCAATGAATTTATAAAAAGAGGCATTTTATCAGCTTCTTGCACATAAGACGAAAAGGCTTTCGTTTTATTTACATTGGTCCTGAGTCTGATTCTTGCTGCTTGCTCTTTATAATACGCTATTTAGCATTTCTTGCATCTTGTCATAACTGTCAGCAAAAAGGACTACATCATCAGCGTATTCACGATCTGTGATACGATGCCCTGGACTAATTTGGACACCTCTTGAGTGCCGACAAGCAGTGTCCATTATCCAGTTTGCCGCATAGTTGAATATTGTGGAGGAAAGGACGCAGCCCTGACGGACACTTGTTCTTATTTCGAAGGAATCTGTCAGTTCCCCACACAGACTTGCGCCGATGTGCGCTCATAAAATGCCTTTATGAGGCTAATA